CTTACAAATAAAGACTATGTTTAATGAGATGTTCATTGTAATTACTGAATCCCTTTTTATAGCCAAATGTTTTTGCTTTTTAATTCTTCCATTTCAAGTATTTTTCCTCCTGCGAAAGATTTATGTACAGACGGTAGAGCTTTGTGTTACCAGCTGCATAATTACTGCCCCACCTATCTGTTTTTTAAACTTCTTAGTCATGCTTCTGCGACCAGAATGTAGGTTAATTATGCACCATGATGGTCAGGTATTTTCTAAGAATATGGGGTTACTCTTGGGGAAATTCTCATTAATATTATCATAAAGTAATCTCCTTGGCTGTGTGGAGATAATGCAATAAAAAAAAGTTTAAAAATTGCCAAGGGTTAGATGCGGGGGAAGGGGGTGGTGAAGGTAGTGGGTGGAGCCGGAGTTGGGGGAGGGATGAGTAACTGGAGCACAGAAGATTTTTAGGGCAGTGAAAATACTCTGTGTGGCACTATCATTATACATTTTTCCAAACTCATAGAATGTACAACACCAAAAGTGAACCCTAAGGGACTCTATGGACTTAGGATGATAACGATGTGTCATTGTAGGTGCATCAACTGTAACAAACTTTGGTGGGGGAGGTGGTTAATGGAGGAGGCTATGCCTGTGTGGGGGCAAGTAGCATATGGTGAATGTATCTTTATCTTCCTCCTAATTTGGCTGTGAACACAAAACCACTCTAAAAGAGAAAGTCTTTAAAAGTGAAAAAACAAAACAAAAACAAACAATTAGTGAGTAGTTACATGTATAACCTAGGTGTTACTGACAGTTCAAGTTCTAAAGTGCTGGTTGTAATACTGGCTTATAGAGGAGTGGGACCTGTGGATACCAAGATTGTCCCAATACTGTCTAAGCACAGGTATTGGAAAGTGAGGAGTTGGATCCCCCTTGGATGTTGTAGCAGGTAAGCTTTGAGGTTCATACTCTTTGAGTTTCACACCCTCGCTGGTGAACTTAGCTGTGTTCACAAATGACTGTACATTGGTAACATCAATATCGCATGTCAGACATCATTCCTAAATTTCAAACTTATATTTCGAGTGTCCTTGTTGGATATCTTCACCTGTTCCCATAGACGCTACAAAAGCAATACACCTCTCAGGATTTTAGGTAGCAAGCAACAGGAACAGTCTCTTGCATATGTAAGCAGTAGAGGGCGCCGTTACAAGACTAACTGTCTCATAGTGCTAGAGAATTAGATGTGAGCTATTCAGCCTAGAGCTAGTCCCAAGAACACACCTGCGTTTGCCGAGGATCCCAGTCTACGGCTGCTGACCTTGCAATGCACTTTTGGCTCCGCTAGCATTGGGGTCTGGACCCCGCCCTATCACCCAGCCACTTTTGCCTACACACTTTTATCTTCCCACAGCAACTCCAGAAAGCAGTTAAAAATTCTACTTGATGAAATAAAAAATAAAATTAAAAATATAAAAATAACATGTGATTATTATGAACTATCATACAAAGAGAAGAATGTATTTATATTTATTTATTTATTTACTTATTTGTTTTTGGAGACAGGGTCTCACTCTGTGGCCCAGGCTGGAGTGCAGTGGCATGATCCTGGCTCACTGCAACCTCCACCTTCCCAGTTCAAGCGATTCTCACACCTCAGCCTCTGGAGAAGCTGGGATTATAGGCGCCCACCACCACTCCCAGCTAATTTTTGGAGTTTCACCACATTGGCCAGGCTGGTCTCAAACTCCTGGCCTCAAGTGATACGTCCACCTCGGCCTCCCATAGTGCTGGGATTACAGGAAGAATGTATAACTATTCATGCACAATTTAAAGAATGATCAGAGAGTACCCATGTTCCCATCTTCAGGGCATGAAAGAAGGTATGACAGCACCACACCTGTGAGATCCCGTCTGTTTCTCTACACACTCGCATTCCTCTTCATCTATCCAGAGGAAATGACCACTCCGAAATATTTTTTCTTTTTAAAATTTCACAGTAATTTAACAACAATTTTATATGCCTTGCAACAATTCAAAACACAAAATCATTTATAATAAAACTTGTGGAACATAACTGAATTCTCAAATACTGTCACGAGCAGCATAAGATCCAAAGTTCACTTTGATAACTTAATGTTTTAACTAACAAAATCCACTTATCTTGATCATGTTTAGATTAGTTTATAATAATTGAAAAAGGCAAATATTTCTAGGTACTGGAGATACCAGGTAAACTTAATTTGTGGCAAATTCTCCGTGATTTCGTTCATACTACAACAGACTTTTCGACTTGATGCTGGTGTTTTTTTTGACCATTCAGAAATTTATCTTATTCCCTTTCTTTTCTTTCTCACTAGACCCACCTACATAGGTATTCCCCAAGCAGCATATTACTGCATGTTGCCTGAAATTTTTGCAAATGGAAACAAATTGGATACTTGTGCTTCCTTCTTTCAAACTTAGATTTTCAAGTTTCCTCCATGTTAGAGATATAGCTGGATTTTATTCATTTTTCCTGTGGTATTGTACTCTAATGTGTGAATATAATACAATGTACTTATCCTTTCCCCTATTGGTAGACATTTGAGTTGCTTCTAGTGTTTCATTTTTGTTTTTTTTTTTAACATCAGTAATGATACTCTTATGAATGTTTTTATATAGATACATGTAAATGTTTCTCTAGGTAAATATCTAGGAGTAAACTTACTGAATTGTAAAATAGGTGATGACAATAGTTTCTAAGGAAGTTGGACCAGTTTACACTCCTAAAAGTAGTTGATAGGCCGGGTGTGGTGGCTCACGCCTGTAATCCCAGCACTTTAGGAGGCCGAGGTGGGTGGATCACCTGAGGTCAGGAGTTCAAGACCAGCCTGACCTATATGGAGAAACCCCCGTCTGTCCTAAAAAAATATATAAAATTAGCCGGGCGTGGTGGCACACGCCTGTAATCCCAGTAACTCGGGAGGCTGAGGCAGGAGAATTGCTTGAACCCGGGAGGCATAGGTTGCAGAGAGCCAAGATCACACCACTGCAGTTCAGCCCGGGTGACAAGAGCAAAAATCCGTCTCAAGAGGAAAAAAAAAAAAAAAAGCAGTTGACAAACTTTGTTTCTTCATAATACTCCACAAAATATTATCTAATTTTCAAATTTCCACCAATTTGGTAAGTATGAAATAATATCTCCTAAGAACTTAATTTTGCATTCCTGAGATTTTCAGTTAGAGCATGCTTCCAAATGTTCCAGATGTTCCATCTTCTATTTCCTTTGATACGACGTATCTTTTCAATCTTTTACCCATTTCCTCCCTATAGGAGGAATAAATATCTTCTTCATAGCAAGTCTATCCGAGAGCAGGCTGTATCTCTCTTTATTAAGGTTTTCTTTAAACTTTTTCAAAACTGTTTATTCAGTAAGTTTTATAATTTTATCTATAAGAGTATTGCATGTACTTTTAGAAATATTATTCTGTATTTTATATCCTTGTACTAAGTTGTAAATGTAAATTAAAATTACGTTGTCGAACTGCTTTTTCTAGGCATATAGAAACGGTTAACGTTGTATATTCAATTTTTAACCAGCACATTTCTAATATTCTCTTACTAGTTATAGTAATTTGAGATTTGCAGGCCTGAGCATAGCAGAGTAGCTTGTATTGGATTAACTCTCCTCTGATAACAACTATACAAACTAGATAAAATATAAACAAATAATTGACTAAAAGCACCACTGAGCAAACAAAGCAAACAGAAACTGGAAGAGGCCTGATCCGTGAAAATTAAGCTCTGTATTTCTTTGGGGTGCCAGGGGGAAGAGTCCAAGTAGAAAGGCACAATTTTACTGGTTTAAGGAAACAGAGGTCAGAGTTTAGGGCTGCTAGAAGAGTCAGAAATGGAAGATATTCTCAAAGAAGAGCCAGGTGGAAGGAACATCAAAATCTCTCTACCAAGTCTTCTTAAATTGTTGACTGGCTCCTAAATCCTGCATGTGCAGACAGGGTCTCCAGGAATTTTATAAAAAGCAGCAGCAGAAAGCTGTAGCTAGGAGGCCAAATGATTGCTGAGCAGAGATTTCCTGATGTAGGAGACGGAGTTTGCAGTACACCAAGTACCCAGCATTCATCGGTTTCTTTCCTCTGACCTTGCCATGTCATTTCAGAGATTTTCATGAGCTGGGAAGAATAGGTAGGTGAGCATTTAGGGGTCAATTTAGCTGGTTAAGTTTGGTTACCCTACCAACTATGTAATATGAAAGGTAAAAATGCATTTAGGCTCAAATGATTTCTCATTAACCACCTTTCCACAATGACATCCTGGGAAAAGCCTAGAGGATTAAAAAAAAAAAAAAAATCTCATTATCATTTGAGTCAAAAGAAGAAATGTAAATGTTTCTGCTATGAAAAGTATTTGTATGAGTCATTACATCAGGACACTATATAAGTACGTTCATACCATTTAGTCAAGCAAGTGCTTGCAGAGAATTTATATATAATCCAGAACTTCAAGACTCTCTTTAATTTGAAGAATAAAATCCAACAAAAATAACAAAATAGGGAAGACATTTCTAACGTCTTCCTCTTATATGGTATAATCATCTATAATCTCTATTCTTGGTAGGTGAGATTGGATGGGCAAGAGCTGTAAGTTCTGTTATCAGAATATCCATTTGGAAATGGTGTAAAATGATGACTGTTCAGAAGACTGAGACCTCTACTGATGGGATAATGGCTAAATAGCAAACAGCAGGACAAAGGGAGAGCTTGGAGTTTCCCTAACTTTGTAAAATCATAGCCAGCAGATCTATAAGTAGTTCAGTGGGTAAAGATTTTGCTTGTTTTGTAAAGAATCTGAAACTTTTAAAATAAACTTTAAGATACTACAAATCATTCTGGCTTTCTCTCTGACCATTTATACAAGAAGTTCGCTAAAATCCTTCTTTTTCAAGCTCTTTACTGTCCTAACATGGGCCTTACCCACACACCCTGACTAAAATATCCTCTGAATCTCCACCATAGGCCTGCTCTGCGGCGTTCCCTAACTCATGTCACTGTGGGCACATTTCCTGAACCATCACTTCTAAGCAGCCAGAAAGAGAAGGTTGTACTTTTGAAACAACAGCGTCCAATTGAAAAAACCGGGCTGAAGTTTTCTGAACGTATGGGACTCTTCTTTATAATTTGAACAAAGAAGAGGAGGAAAATTACAGGGCCACCGCAGCACAGGGCAGGAGAGCTCCCTTCTGTCCTTCTGCTTCTCCTCAAACAATCCAGCAAAATGATGCCTGCAAACACCACTCCAAAAGTGACCGGCACGCATTCCAGCTGCTCGCCACACAATCAGTCCTTTCTGTCCAGAAAAAGGCCTGGGATTCATGCTGGCTTTTGCGTAGTGCGTTTAGCGTCATGCCGGCCCACTCCCCACGCCCTCGCGCCCACACAGAGAAAGAAAGAGAAACATGGCAAGACGGGCTGTGCTCGGCTGATTGTTAGGAAGGCATTCAGGTACCAGGCTTCCAAGATGTTTGGCCACGTTCAAGCTCAACTTTGGTGACATATTGCACATCTGCGATATTTTTATAAATTACAATAATCCAAAAATAAATAAGATATGAATATGAATTCTCTGAAAGAGAAAGAGGCAATGTGATGATTATAGTGAAAGGAGACAGTATTGGATGTTTTAAGCATTTAGCCACAACTAAAAGACTTTGGCATCTGGTTAGTGTTTCTCTTTTGTCACTTCCCTCCTGCTCAATTTTCTTATCAACCATTAAAAATGTATTCATTGCCCAACCACGTATGTGTGTGTGTGTATATATATATATACACATACATATATATACACACACATATACACATGTATGTATGCATGTGTGCATGTATCATAACACATTAAGAATTACATCAGTCTAAAAAAACGGGACTATTTTACCAAAAAATAAAATAAAATTCAGGTATATTTACTAAATGCAACATCTTACTTGGAAAAAAACTCTCAAATATGTTAGCAGCACTTCGTTTATTTTTTAGTTCTTTTATTTTCAATCAACTGCATTTGCTACATTGATATTATAATGTAGTCAGTACTGGCCACATAATTTGCAGATTCTAGTGCAAAATAAAAATGCAAGGCCCCTTGTTCAGAAGTTATTAATGATTTCAAGATGGTGACAGCAAAATGTTAAACCAAGAATGAGCCCTTCTGAGTGTGGAACCCTGTGCAGCTGCACAGGTTGCATGCCCATGCACCAGCCCTGAATGTGGCTTCCAGGAATCCTAAGAGTTCTGTCACTCAGCTTTACAAAGACCAAATCAATTTCACTTCCACAGAAGGTAAATTAACTCTATGAGGTTAATGAACAGCAGTGAGTCGTATCTTGTGTTACTCATGCAGGATGGATAGGAACGGCCAGTCTCTTATCAGGTATACACGGACCTCTTCAGAGACCCTGTATGTCCCATGAAGGAGAGACAAGTTAAGAAATGCGTTAAAATTTTGTCGATGCTATGATTAAAAGTAAGACTATGTCCCTACACATGTCAAAGTTATTTTACATCATGTTTGATATAATAGTTATAGTTAATATCATACTATTAGAAGACCATGAGCTGGTTGGAAAGAAAATTTATTGAGACCCCCTTGATTGACAGTTGGTTAGAAATGTAATCAGAATGTCCATTTGGAAGCAGAGAAAGGATGGACTGGGGTAATCTGTTGCTTGTAAGTATTTCTGGGTTTTCAAGGGGCAGTGGTGGCATGGAAGGTAATGGAATTTGCAAGAGCAAGTACATAAGCAAAGTGGGCTATGTGTTAGGGAGAGAGAATCTCTGGGTGATCCCCAGTTTTCATATGTATAATCAGGCTCAGTCAGCAACAAGCAGACAGCTGCCATCAGGCTAATAAAGGATGTTCTGGGGTCTTGGGAGCATTGGCTTCCCATCCCAGGTGGAGATATTTACTTATTCTGACTTGCCACAAGGTCAGGTGCTTGCCCCACTTTGCAATAATTTAGTCTTTGGCAAAGCAAATATTCTGGCCTTAAAAGCCTTGAAAAAGTCCAGTTTAAACATATAATTTCTTGCCCATTCCCTGTGGTATTTGAATATAAATAAGACATTTGATGTGATGGGAACAAACTCTGAAAGGAGAACAATTTAAATCCAAACTGCCTCTTAGTTGGTAATATTTTTTAGGAAAAGCATTCTATTCAAATAAAAAAGGAACAAATAAAGCAACTAAATCTATATTGCATTTTGCTTTGGAAAAATTAAAAGTACTTTCTTACTATTTCTCATATATTTAACCTTTTAATGTTTACAGAATGGTCCTTCTAGGGCATTCTATACAGGATGCCAGTTTTCATTTCTGTACATACTCATGAGAAACTATGCAAGTTCATGCAAAAGTTTTCTATTATTTTCTCTAAAAATACAAATTTTGTACATAAAATACTGAACTAATCACTACTTTAAAAAGGAATTTAATGTTTTGATGCTATTTTAATTCTAATATGTGTGCTATTCATTGGAATTATGTTCCAATTTATTCATGGACCTCTTTGGCCCTGAACTTGAAGGCAGTCCTTTCAGCACAATTTGGGCATTGCAGACTACAGTAGAATACTATAGGAGAAGCTCTGAAATGTAGAAATTTGCTTTGGTTGACATTACCCCTAAACAATTTTTAGAGCTTCCCCAATATTGGAAGAAACTTTGTGTGCTCCTCGTTGTAGCTCAGACACTAAACTGAGTATTTCACTTGCACATACTCCTGGAAGCAGCATATTGGAGTAAAGGAAATGTCGGTGATAGAAACACAGAGATGGGTTAGAATTCAAGCCTTTACCAAGCCTTACCAGCTGTGCAATCTTTAGCAAATGATAACCTCCCTATAACTCAGTTTCTTCATCCATAAAATGCCACTGATGCAGCCTTTGCTTTTATAGTTTTTGCAAAGGCAAAATAGATGTGAGTTATCGAGTACAGTGTTTGGACCAGTTTAGGTGCAAAGAAAATCTGAATTCCCTCCCTTATCTTTGTCCTTTGTTTCCATGTCATTATTCCACATTACCTAGTAACTGACTCTACTTAGAGCCTAGAATAATTAGGCATCATTAAATACATTTTGATTGGAAAAATAAATTATTATCTGGATAGCATTGTGGTTAGGAATACAGATTTTGAAACCAGACTGCCTGGTTTGGAATCCAAATACCATTTGCTCAGTGGTGTGACTTTGTGAAAATTATTTAACTTCTCTCATCCTGTTTCCTAATCAGTAGAATGAGTACAATAACAATATCAACTTTACAGGGTTGCTGTGATAATTGAGCCACTATGTGCCTGTTATATACTAACAGTTATATTTCTATTAGCTATTTTTCTTCTTCTAGTCATAGTAACAGAACTATTTGACTTATTTGTGAAAAGCTGAGCTAACAAAACACCAGTTATATCTGCCTGTCTGGTAAGCCCTTTAAAATACTTCCAAAGGATAAGCAATAAGCCAATGATATACAACATCAATTGCAGGATTGAAGAACAAATCTAGGATAAAAATAAGTAGGTATATTTTTCCAGTTGTCCATCTGATGATCATTGATCAACTTTCTATATTGAAATTAAGCAGAGGCCACAGCAAGAGGAAATATTGCTTAGAGACTGCTCAAGAATCTCAAACATTCTGTTTCAGATAACTATGGATTCTTTTATTTGATGTGTAAAAAGGAGATTTTGCTTTATTTTCCACATTATGTCTATTGCTGACTCAGGGCACAAAGAAGAACAAATTGTGTAATTTGAGTTGAGAGCAATCATTTTTGCAGTTGTTCTTTAAAAAAGGAAAAAAATCCTTCACATAATGAGCCAAAACTTGCCTAGAGATCTGTGTGCTCTGCTTCCATTGACGTCACTTGGAAGTTGTGTGGGCAGAAATTGGCTGACTTCCTCCAGCATGTCTTTTTGAAAGTTGAACATATTGAAAAAATGCACCCTTCTTATCCCAAACTACAGTATGGAGAAGAACATCATAAACAAATTTTCTGTTTACGTTCAAATGAACAACTATAAAATTCTGAGAGCCACATTTGCAAAGTAAACCCTCTTAGTGTCCAGTAAGAGGAAGGATGTCCTCTCTATTTGAAAAGAGAATCATACGGTGTTACAGCTGAAGGGGCTTTAGAGATGATATCGTTCAATCAGATATGGAAGCTGAAACTCAGAGTGAGATTCAGGAACACTCCGAAGGTCAGACAGGGCCCAAGGCTGGATTAGAACGTAGGCATTCTGCTTTCTAGTTCATTGCTCAGCTCAGGACAAAGGGATGTGTAATAATCATTGTGTCTGCACATTTCTCTCTCATTATATAAATCCCAAGCACTGAGGCAACTGTCTGTGAAAACTAGGAATTTTGTGTGTACAGTAAAACTACCAATTGCTGTACGTACAGTAAATAAGCATAGTGCACTGGAATTGAATAGATTGTGGACACAATTGGAAGCTCATAAAGTGCTGCTGCATACAGCTGCTCCCCGGGGTGTGCTACCGGGTTTCAGTTTGGAGCTTGACTTGTCCACCTAGAGCTTTCTCAGCTCCATGTGCTCTTCCAATCACTGAGAGGCTACCTCTTGGAGACAGGAAGAAGAGAGTACCCTAATTCCATCTCAGCTTCCACTCCTTTCAGGTTTATCCTTACAAAAAAAGGTCTGTACTCATTCAGTCATCTGTTATGAGCTGGGCTGTGGCTTTCCACCTATTGAAAACATTTTCAAATTCAATTATTTTAATAAGGTACCACTGTCTTTATTAAAATATGAGTAATTACAATTTCCCCCACCAAGATCCCATATACACAACAGTCAATAGTGAATAGATGAATCATATAGGAGAATGCCTAAATTTATATGCCCCTGAGTATACATTATTACCTATTATTCAGCTAGTTGTGTAAATTTAACTCCATAGGAGAAGCCTAAGTATGAATGTAGAGTTTTTCTATTTCTGCTTTGCTTCATTCTGCTTCTTCCTAAAGAGAAGAATTCTTTATAGGTAGAAGGTCATCCCTTCTGTGGCCAGCCAGCTCAAAAACCTTAGCAGTGGTTGTTACTTTAATTTCTTTGGTAAACATCTGTGATGGTCACATTTCTAGCAGTTCTGTAAGTGGAAGTCCGACGTGGCATTCAAAAATCTTGGTAAAATTTTAGAAGGGCCAACAGCATTCAAATTTATGGACCAAAGAACCAGCTATTGAGAATAAAAGATATCGCACCAATCTAGCATAGCTGCTCTAGTTGAATGCTACCTAGGTACTGGACAGGGGGCTAGGAGAATCTGCCATGATCAACATTGAAACAACTGAGAGCTCCGAGGCCAATCACATATTCTGTTAATTGGAAATACTGAGTGTGTCAGTCTATCCTATACATGAGAATTTTGAAAAAAAAAAAAAATACAGAATAAGGAAATTATCCTAAGGACACATAGGAAAAAAATCACTGTTATGGCTAAAAGAAGATATTTAAGATTTGGTTCCTAAAATAGGCAGCAAATAGACATGCCTTTCAAGACACAGGAGCAGAAAGACATGAAAAAACAGAAAAGACAAAAAAAATTAGGATGAAAATCAAGCAAGAATTGGGTAAAATAGGTTAGAATAGAAAGAACACTGTAAGTGCAATACACTTATCTGAATTATCATTGGAAATAATGAAGGTCAGAATTAATACTATAGAAAACTGGATCAAAGACCTAGAGAAAACACTGGAAAATCTTCAGGAATGTAGCTAAAAAGGACAAAAAG